AGGCTGGGAGAGAATTGCAGTAGCCAGACAGGAAGCCAGCCTATCGCCCTGCTGGGGTCCCTACACGGCCCTGTGCAGCGTAGAAGGCAGGCTTTGCTTCTCTGAAACAGTCTCGCAGACTTGTGCAAGCTCTGCCTCCCCCCACATCCCTGAAGACCCCAGGAGCACGCCCTCCTCCCCAGCACCAGTCCAGGTCTCAAGTCCAGGACCTTGTTTCTGGAGAGATGCCAAAGGGAGCCGGGATGCAGTTTTCCCCCAACACCAACCACAGGGATCAGGGTCAGACCCACCGAGTCCCTCAGTGCTCCCATCTCGATGGAATTTTCCCAAACCTCGGCTGTTTCCATCTTGTACCAGCAGTTAGAGAACCTTCGTGCCCCAAGTGCTGGGAGAAGACAGCCCATTAATTAGGCCTGTTTTGCAGGCCCCCAGGGCTTTGTGATGGGCCGGGCTGTCTCGCTCCAGGCCCTTCATGACTCAGACCTCAGTCTCTCCTCCCTGCCCTCCCACCTCCTCTTCCCAGAGGAAAAAAAAAATCCCCTCTGGCAGGACAGCGGCCACTGGCCCCGAGTCCAGGTCACTTCCCTGCCTCTCAATACAGTAGCAGCAAGAAAGGGGTGCTCATTCATTGCAGCTAGCAGGTGTCTACTGATTACCTAGCACGTCCCTGCCTGCAAGGGGTACAGAGGCGCGTTATAAGAAGCGTTCCATGTGATAAATGCTGTGATCAGAGTTAGGAGCCACTCACGAGAGGCCTTGCTCTCATCCGTCTCAGAGGGGCAGGGAGGGCTTCTTGCAGGAGAAGTCTCTACACCAAGATGGGGAAAGGGAGTGAACGCAGCAACAGCGAAGGAGGGGGAGAGGTGCGGTGGCTTTGCCGGGCAAAGGCTTGGAAGGCGAGAGGAAGCCGGAGAACGTGGAAAGCCACGTGGCTCAGCCCCATCTGGCAGATGAGACTGGGAAGTCGGCAGGGGCAAGAGCCCGAAGGGCCTGAGAAATACGTGAGGGCGAGGACTCGAGGCTTCATGCCAAGAGCAGTGAGCAGCGAGCAGAAATTCTCCATCACTGGGAGGCTCGGGGCAGGCCCCACTCCACACCATAGGCCGCATGGACCATGCTGGGTAACTCAGCCAAGCCATCCCTGACGCGTGCCCGTGCCACGCAGGTGCTGAGATTCAGAGGCGGGGAAAGAACTCTTATTTCTTGGGTGCCAACTGTGTGTCAGAGTATACAGCGAGGCACCTAACAGCTGGCGCCTCATTTAGTCCTCATGGCAGCCTATGGGACCGCAGTCATCACCCCCATTGTACAGATAGAAAGGACAAGGCTCAAAGAGGTTGACCTCACAGTGTCCCATAACCAGGAAGGGACAGTACTAGGGTAAGAGTTCAACAGCGACTTTTCTCCTACTTCGGCGGCCTGCCCTAAATGTAGGCCAAAGGTTGTGGGAAAGGCTTCATGGCGGAGGAGAGAGCTGGCAGGCTCCTCCCTGGAGCAGAGTGGCCCGATCAGGCTGAGCATGCGCACTGGAAGTCTGGCGTTCGGGCCCATGGGGAGCAATGTGGGATGACTGAGGCCTGGGAGAAACAGTCTCCCCGACAGCCTGCCTGCCCGAACCTGCTCTGGGAAGGAGGAAGCTGCTTGTCAAAGAATAAGGTCAATGCGTAAGGATAGACGCTCGTGTCTTCTCCGCATTTGAGGATGCTGGGTGCCTACGCGCCTTGATTAGGGGCGGGGCTACCCAGAGCCTCTGTGGTGAATAATCCGGTGTTGCACATAGTAGGGATGCGGATTGTTGGAACTGGAAAGGGGTAACTGCACTTAAAGCATCCCCAGAAGAGGCGTTCCCACACCCTTTTCCCGGGGTGGAGGTGAAATTGTGCCAGGGGGTGGGTGAGGCATGGCTAGAGATTTCTAGAATGCCACGGAGGAATCTGGGACCCCTGAGAAACCTGGAGCTGAGCTCGAAGCCCTCTGGGGATACCATCTGCAGCTGTCTGGCCTGAGCCTGGCTCCTGGGTACACAGTGAGCGGGTTGTGAAATGCAGACATCGCATCCTCACAGCATCTGGCTCCATCCCTGTGCTGAGTTGACCTCAGGAAATGAAGACAGTTCCCGTGACTCAGATGACCGATAGGTGAAGCACAGACCAGTAAGTACACAGGGAGAAGCGATGCATTGTCCGAGGCTCTTTGCATACGTGCTGCTCCTCAGTAGTGACTGGCAGAGAGGATGCTGGGAAAGACGCCATCCTGCCCCTGGGAACGCCGTGGACCTGGGCATGGCCCATCGTTAGTGAAGTCACCTGTAAGGTTCTCCTCCCCCCATCCCTTTGTTCTCTTCTTGGTGCTGCTGCCACCTCTGGGCCCCTCCGGGCCCTTGTGCAGCAGTCCCTGGGACGGAGGGCCCCTGGCTGCCTCCTGGGAGGATCCCCAGTGCTCCCCAAGTTGTTGCCAACTCCTCCCCTCCCTTTGGAGGGTGCCTTGAACCTCTCCAGTCAGCTAATCCCTCCCTCCTGTGATAGAGATCTTGAGCAGGGGTCACCACACCCTTTCCCGAGGCACCACCCTCCCCTGTGCGTCACTCAGTCTGGGGACGTCTTTGTTGTTCCTCTCTGAAGTCCCTCTCTGCGCAGCCTCCCTTTTCCTCTGGCGTGTTCACACTGCAGAAGGACCGATAGCCATGTCCTCCCGCCTCGGGTCATCTTTCGGGAAGTGCTTTGGGTTTTCTGGATCGCCCTTCTGTGCCCCTTCCAAGCTCTCTGAGATCTACTGAACTAAGCAGTTCCAGCCCAGGGAGAAGACGCCCCGCAGGACTCACGGTGCTGAGAGATGGGGGAGTTGAACTCATGCCTGCTCCGCACCGTCAGTCAGAAGCCACATGAAAACTGGCCCCTCTGCCCCGCTCCCCCAGCCCACGGTACTGCTGGCTTCTTGACCCACGGCCTCTCCTGCCACGCGTGGCAAGCCTTACTGCCTTTTTCCTTCAGCCGCCCAGTAGAGCCAGGTGTCTCCCCTTCTCTAGGGCCCCCCACACCGTGGGAAGCACCACACTGAGAGCCGCTTTGAGTTCGGCCCTGCTCTTTCCTGCTCAGGTGGCTGTGCGCCCCAGCATCAGACCTCTCTGAGCCATAATTTCCTCCCCTGTAAAACCAGGATCATCACACCTGCCTGTTCCAAGGACCCGATGAGCTTCGAATGAGCATGGAGACGCTTTGTAAACCATAAACCAGCTTCTTCACACACCGTGTTCTTCAGAATTCTGTGGTCAGCAGAGGTGTTCATGAACTTTTCAAGAGAAAATCAGTTATGCCAAGTTTGAGGAAGGCACGCCTAAACAAAGGGAGCCAGGTGTCCTTACGTAGGACTTGTGGTTGCCAGGGTGCCTGGCAAATCTTCAGAGCAGGATGCAGTTACAGCTTTGTCTCAAAACCATCCTTTGCGTGGACTAGTTATTCACATCTTTTCTGGTTTCCACGGAGTGTAGCATCTATTAGATCCCCCTACAGACAGTAACGCGCATCTTTCCCTACAGTTTGTGCGGACCTCCTGGTCACAAGTCCTGGGCAATCCCAGTTCATCAGGGCCTGAGTGTGCCATCTTCCAGCCCTGCGCTGTGTCCTGGGAGCGGAGAGGGGGCCTCTGCCACAGGACTGCAGCCTTACCGCCCGGCATCCTCACCTGGCTCTGCCCCGAGCACCTTGGCAAATCCATTGTCTTACGGATCCATCTGTCTTTTGTGTTCTTGCCACTGGCCATGTCCCAGCTTTCCTCCTGCCAAGGTACCTTCCTCCCACCTCTTCCAACACGATGGGAACCCATTCTTCACATCTTAGCCCAAGCCCTGACTCCTCCATAGAATGTTTCCTACCCAATGAAATGTATTCTGGATGGGAAAACTCAGCTCCCCAACATAATTGCATGCTCTTAATGGCAAATGGCATTATTTACACTTCCCAACTTTTCTCTAGAAAACCAGGTTTCATTTGTGGTTTGGTTGACTGCTGCCCTTCACCACAATCCTGCTAGCACAGAAGTATTTGTGTTTAGTTTATATATTTAGGGAGCTCTGGGAAATGCATGTGCAACAGGTGGAATGGATTCCATTCCCTGTTAAACCAGTTCTATGAAATAGGCAATCCATTGCCCTCCCAGAGATGTAGACATAAAACCATGGCACAGCTGTGCTTGGAGGACTTGAATTTCCCACTGGGTAAGGGTCCTTCTGAGCTGCATAGTCAGCAATGTATCTTCTGGCTTCATGCCATAGATGCTAAGGGAAAGGGGGTCTGCTGGAAGCCAAGGTTGAATAAGACAAGGTCCCTGCCTTTAGGAAGCTCTCAGCCAAGACAAAAGCAGAAGCACCTTGTGGCAAGTCAGTGTGTTGAGGGTAATACTAGAATCAAAACAAAACAAAACACCGGATCCCAAACTAGAGCTGACGATGAGAGCAGGTGGGGATAGAAGGAAGCATCCCGGGAAACAGCCCAGCCCCTGGGCCCATCCTCCTGCTCATAGAGAGGGGGTCAGGGGAGCAGGCGTGGCAGCATTAGGGGATTCTGTCTCTCGGGGCTTTGCAGAAGGGTGATTCAAGCTTGTCCCTGGGTCACAGGGCGGGAAGACTTGAAGGAGCCAGAACATCTGGCAGGTGCTAGAAGGGTCTGAGATGGGAGTGTTGCATCCCACTCTGCCCAGATGCAGACATGCCTACGTACATATGTACGTACGCACACAGACACACTCACGTGAGTCTATGGGATTCCCACTTCCCTGCTTCTCCATTACCCCCTCACCCCTACTTCCTTCTCACCTTGACTCATTCTTCCTCTTCTCCTCTGTCACCTCCCGGGCCTGGGGCCATCCATCGTTGCCTCATTGGAACAGCCCCGTGTCTGCTCCCAGTAGCTAGAGGCCCACGTGGGCATGAGGCCCACTCCCCATGGGTGGGCCTCAGGTTGGAGACCAGCCACCACTCAGCCTTTTCTCTTTTCCTCCCACAGAAAACCAAAAGAGACGTCAACAACTTTGACCAAGACTTCACGCGGGAAGAGCCGGTCCTCACGCTGGTGGACGAAGCCATCGTGAAGCAGATCAACCAGGAAGAATTCAAAGGCTTCTCCTACTTCGGGGAAGACCTGATGCCCTGAGGGCCGCCCCAGCTGGAGTTTGCTGTGCTGCAGGAAGAAGCCCCCAGAAGATCCCTGTGTTCCAGAGGCTTGGAAGGTCTCAAACTGCTTCTCCTCCCTGGAGTCCCGGCCCCGTGTCCACTCTCTATTTATTGCATTCCCTTCCCCGGCCACCCCTCCCTGTCCACCTGGTGACCAGAAGGAACTCTTGGCACTTGTCTCTGCAGCCATGCCTACTCACAGTGGGTCAGCACTTGGCCGTGCACACTGCCGCGTGCGACTGTTGCCAAGCCTGGGGCCGCACCTTGGGGGCTCCTGGTGGTAAAAAGCAACTTCCGTTCTTTGACCACAAAGAAGAAGAAGAAAGCAAACAAGACGACTCTGGCTCTGCCATGCGACATAGAGTCCCCGCCACCTCTCGCCTGTCATCCTTCCTGTGCCTGGCTTGCCATCCCTTCCTTCTGCCCAGGACGAGAGGCTGGTGCGTCTCCCGCATGAGACTGGGCACCCTCTGGGCATCCCTGTGGTGAAGGGAGGTGGGGAGACACACGGGCCGGCTAGCTGTGTTGGTTTGCTCTGGAATGGCTACTCGTCTCTTGCTTTGGTTTCTGCTTCGGAGCATGCCAAAGTCTTGTAAGTCTTTGTCTCGTGGAAAAAAAGAAATTTGATTGTGAACTCTGTTAACATTTGACATGCATATTATCAAGTTTGCTTTCTAATTGGCCGAAAGATGTCAATTCCAATGTGAATATCAGATATTAACAGGTAGATATTAAAGGGCTAATATACAATGAGAAACCATGTGTCCAAGGTTCATGCCAACAGTGCTCCAGTGGCACGTGATGGTCTTAGGAATTGTGAGGAAAGGAAACAAGTCATGGTCCTCATGACGACAGTTCTACCTGAACACCAAGGCCACCGCAGCCATGGCCGCACCCTGGGGGTCTTGCCAAGCTCACCTCCCGAGTTCTCTTTCCAGATTCATCCTCTGTTCACAGCATCAACGCGACTTGTTTTCTGCAGCAGTGTGTTCTTTTTTGCGCTCTTCTACAAAATGGTAGTACTACTGTGTTGTGGTTTTCAAGCATTCAACATGTAAAGACAAATATGAAATACCTGCTTTTGGAACAGGCAGGATGAGACTCAACAGGAGTCTTGCACAGGATATCAGGAGCCCAAAGAGCAACTGGAGTAAAAACTGACCATGTGGCAAGATGGACTCGTAGTTTTGTTTCTGGGTGACACGCGGTAGTGACGCATGTGGACACCATTTCCTGGATGTGGCATTACCTCCTATAGCTATGCGAATGGTGTTGCATTCTTGATTTCCAAAGGTTCTCCATGGCTCTGGGAGTATGTTTCCTGGAGGTCATTGGGTCACCTATTTTACTGAGCTGGTTTAGCGGGGAATGGAATCCATTCCACCTGTTGCACGTGGGTCTCCCAGCGCTCCCTAAATATATATACTTGTGAGTGGCAAAGTGGCACGAATGAAGCTTTTTGCCTTTTGTACATTTGAGATTTTTGTATATAGTGTTTGCTGCAAGGCCTGTGGAATTAATTCATTGACTATAGAAGTATCAACTGCTGCATGTTCAGGCATATTATAAAACTTTAGTGTATGAAAGAATAACTATAGGAATGTTCAGGTGCAATACTCTGTATTGGTTCAAGTTACCGAGAGATAAGTATGTTCCTTTGGAGGGGAGGGAGTCATCTGTACTGTTTATTTCAGTTTGGTTTCTTTTGAAAAATGTACACATAGAGTAAGCTATATCAAATCTTACATATAGCTCTCCTGTGCTCTGTCGTGCCCAGTTAGAGATGACAGAGAGAAAGGAATGCTGTTGATGGGATTTCACGGCTTGGACAGTGACTATCTCGAGCCCACAGAGAGTTTGCGTCCGTATTTGCATCCGGCTGGTCATAGCCTTTGTTCCTGGTGATGACATTCAGTTCTCGTTTGTTTTTATTTTTAAAAAACTCAGGTGTAATTATTATCTGTTCTTACGATAATTGCAACTATTAAATATGCTATGTCAGCTCGTGTGTTTGGCATACCAGTGAAGTGACGAAGAACTTTTAGATTAATTTAATTTATCTTCGGTAACTTGACGTCCTGGGGAGAGACTTTCTTCCGGAGTTGAGTACAAGCACAGAAACATCTTCTCGGTGGCATCATCTCATTTTTTAGGAAGACATGACAATACTGCCCATCATACTCATGCATAACTACTGCTCGCTCGCTCGCTGTCTCTTCTGCTTCCTGCACCATTATGAACTTTGGACAACCAAGCAGGCTCTAACTGCAATGCCAAAGGGCCTTATCCAAGGGCTTGGTGGTGTTTGCATGGCAGTGGGGGGTGGGGAGGTTGGATCCTTCCTACAGGACAACTGGCATTCTTTGCTGGGAAGTCAAATAATACATTCCACCTGGCAGCTCCGGACAGCCAGGCAGCCCGGCTCCCCGCTAGCAGCCCCAGCCCGGCTGGCTGGGATGCTTCTGCCGATGTTCTCGCATGGGCAGAATCCACTCCAACCTGAATCTGCAGAAAAAGGCTTGTGTGCTCCTTGGATGTTTTCATTTTTCCATTTTCAATAAGGGTTTGGAAGCAGACACAATGTTAAGTTTCTATTTCCTTCTACTCTTCCCACCACTTCTCTCTCTTGTTCTCTCCCTCTCTCTAGTAAAAAAAAAAAAAAAAAAAAAGTTGAGTGCAAAAAAATGCCAAAAAAATATGAAGGATAGCTGTTCTCCTGTGTTCTCTTATTATGGACTTTGTGAAGTGGAAACCTAATTTTCCCTCCAAAGGTGAAAAACACAATACAGTCTTGCTTTAAAAAAAAAAAAAAAGGCTAAAAAAATTACCTCTTTTTAAATTATGTGCAAAATAATTCTGGCTAAATATAAAATGTATTCAGTTTTAGGGATTTTTTTTGTATTGTGATGCTTTATTTGTACATTTTATTCCTTTCTGGATGTAATTTTAATATCTTGCCATTCATTAGTGTTATTTCATTGTAAACATTATTGTGCCAAATGTACTGTATTCAAAAGGATGTGAATGTGTATTGTTTCAGAACCTAATAAATACAATGATGTTGAATCTCCTCAGTCCCAGTAGGGGTTGTGACCTCCCTCATGCGTGGCAAAGGGCACTCGTGAAGCCTTTTTGCCTCTGCCATGCTACGGAGTCCCAAATTCCCAAACCTGGATGTGGGTTCAGCTTCCTCCTCAGAAGAGGCGCAAAGCTGCACCCAGCCCTTTTGGCATCCTCCCCTTGCCCACGCCTGCCTGGGCTCTGTGCCTCTGGGGCTGCCAGTCCAAGGGGGATGAAGGAGCCCTGTGCGGTCATGGCCCTGCTGCCTTGGCAGAGAGGGAAACCACCCTCGCCACTTGGAGTCCTGGGAGATAGGTGAGAAAGCAGAAAACCTTGCACCTGCCATTTTGTCTTTCCAAAGGAGCAAATGCAGGACCTCCTTGCCACTAGGGTCACTCAAGGCTCCTTGGGACTCAGTTCCCGGCCTGTTGCTCAGGCCTTTGGGGTCCAGGACGATGCAGAGGCTGGGAGCCCCTGGCAGGCTGGCTGGTAGGGTGCCCTGCTCAGCCCACTCTCCGGGTTCCCTTCCTGCCAGTCCACCCTTATGACCTTGGCTCCTCCAGGCTCCTCCTCTTCTTTCTCCATGTCAGATTGTTCAAGAACGTTTGAAACTCCAAAGTGCCCCCGAAGTGTCAACTGGCCCAGACTCCCTGTCCCCTAAGAGTTATAGAAATGACTGCAGCTTTGCTGTCAGTCATCCTAAAGTGAGAGAACAGCTTAACTTGTCATGCTGTCAGCCCACAAAATCACTTCTTCATCAGCCAGCCACAGGCTTCCATGGAGCATTCCAGAAGCCCCCGACTCAGCACACCACCTTCCTATCCGGAGGTGTAGCTGTGGTCTCCCACTCACCCGAGGACGAAGGTGCTGTGGTCCTGTAGCTTCTGAGATTTCAGCCAGCTGATTCCCGGTGAGGGCACCTCTGAGGACAAGCAAGTTTCGCACCAGGTAGTCTGATCACGAATTTAAATACAATTCATGAGAAACGCCCACTCCGAAAAGCAGGGCATAGAGTGCTGGTGGCCCAGGGGCTTTGGGGCTTGAGAGAGGCAACGGGGTGCTGGTGATGGAGAGGCAGCATTTCAGCTAGAGGCAGAGAGAGGTGCTAGAGGTTTGTCGTGCACATGGAGACTGGTTAAGAACACCTGAAACTTGGCTAAGGGAGGCTTGAATGCTCTCCCTGTAGACTCAGAACAAATGCTATGGGTGTGGGGCGATGGGTCTGCGCTGGCCCCAGGACTCTGTAAGTAAGTAAGTAAATAAATAAATAAATAAATAAAAGCTTCAAGGGCTACAGTTCTCCTCTACCTCCCAGGACACCTGAAAGTTTTATTATTAGCATACAGGATGCTAGAAAATGATTTTGTCAAGGAAAACAGGATTTTTAATTAGCAAAAGGCTGTTAGAAATGTGACAACAGCAGTGGCTGAGACATACGTAGACGGACAAAGATACTTGAAGACAAGTCTCTGCATTTTAAAACACAGGGCATAAAACCCCAGGGAGCCATCGACTTCCCTGGTCGTCAGAGACAGGCGAGTGTAAATCTTCACACCTTCCCGAATGACTAAACCAGGAAGCAGACATAAGATATGGAACAATTAGAACCTTCACTGGGTCTCGTCTGAGCAATGAACTGTGTTCTTGGAAAAACGTCGATGCACTCTTGACTCATCAGGCGAGTCTGCTGACCCAGGGATGGGTGCACGAAGTGTGGGCCTCGCACAAGGAATCGCCATCCAGCTGGGGGCACGGGGATTGACAATTGCAGCTGAGTCGCAAGCGCCCGGTCGCTGAAAGACGCCAGACCGAATGGCGTGCCCTGGTTCCATTATGCCGTGTGTAAAGCAAACCGTCTCAGCCGCTAGGAACCAGGCTCGCGGTGACCCTGTGGCGAGGAGAGGTGGTGACAAGGACAGGCGCTAAGGGCTTCTGGGATGGGTTCTTGTTGAGCTTTGCTTTCCGAGCCCGGGGCTGGAAACAAGCGGGTGCACCTGTGTGCAAGCAAACTTTACCTGTACCATCTCTGCACTTTTCTCAATAAGAGTTGTACTTCAATACAAAAAAAAATTTTTTTTCAAAAATTACCCAGCACATGCTGTGATCTTTTGCCATGGTTTGAACCTGGCTTGTCCCCTCCGAAACGGACATGGAAATCTGTTTGCCAGGTGGTAGTGCTCAGAGGTGGGGCCTTTAAGAGTTGATTGGCTTGTTCACAGGATGGCTGCTTGTCTCTCGGTGGTGGGGAGCACAGGAGGGGCTCATT